GAGCCAATGGTCCTAGTGGACGTGAGAGATGGTTCACTTCGGAGAGAGTCCTACAATGAAATAGACAATGAAGCACTCGTACATGCAAGTCTGGACTTAGTTGAAAAAAACCGCGACAAGGCTCGATTAAGGATAGCTTCCTACCAGTAGCCGGCAAAAAGATTCTTTGACTCTAAAGTCAAGAGAAGAGACTTCAGGGTTGGCAACCTGATGTTAAAAGAAGTCATTCTCAGTACAAGAGAACCAAGTGCGGGGGTATTGGGACCAATTGGGAAAGCCTATATCATGTCGCTAAGGTGATACAACTTGGAACGTATCACCTCAAAAGACTTAATGGTTTTGAAGTACTGTGAGCTTGGAATGCTGAGCATCTTCAACCTTATTATCAGCAATTCCGAACTCGTTTATAGCTTGATCATTTTTTACTTGTAAAGTTTTCATTGTTGTAAATTCTATGAATAAGATTATTCCAATTCTTCTTAAAGAATTACTTGTGTCGTAATCTCAAGTTTGTAATAATCTTGTTATTTATAACGTTTTACAAGTTTTATGATTAGATATGCTATATCTATTTTGTGAAGGACTTGAGTTATAAAAGTGCTATCACAAGTGGTCAAAAGTTCCTTTTGCATATTTGAAAATTATTTACAAGGGACAACCAGGAGCTATATCAGAAAAAACAACAAGCACCAAAGACTCTATTCGAGCAGAGGAGAAAACGATCACTGGTCTTGATCACCAGGATCCCTGACTTTAGCCACCTCAACCTCTGGGTCGTCCGACTGATCGCCGACCTCTGGTTCGTCCGCTTGATCTTCAAGGACTTTTGTTTCTTACTGATCATCCTTTGGGGCAGGCTCTTACCCTTCTTGCTCATCGGCCTCAACCATAGAAGCAAGGGCAACTTGGTATTCTTCGGGGAGATCAGAGATATCCATGTTAGGATTGTTCAACCGTAAGTTATAAATAGCTTGCAACGCCCAGTGAGCAACCTTCCTCTCCATTTCGAGGTTCTGTTGCTTCATTTGCTCAATCAACGAAGTGATTCGCTCATAAGCCAACTCAAGATCTGTCTGCAGTGCTCTCTTCTCTTTCTCTAAGTTTTCCCATAACTCAATTCAAGTCTTTTTTGCTGCCTTTTTGCGCTTTGAGCCTGCTTGCAGCTCTTTTTCTCTTTGGCCCAACTCTTTAGTGAACTTCGCTATTGTTTGTTAGGGCTCCTTATTGTCGTTCTTTTTCTTCTTGAGCTCGATCTTCTAGAAGTCTGCTGCTCCCAGAGCAAAATTCCTTTCAGTCATGTACACATTCGCCTGAATGTGAGCAGCCTTTGCCTCTGCATTTGAAGGCGCAAGATCTTGCTTCAGTTTGGCAATTTCCTCCTTTATCTCGTGGAGTTTGCCAATAGAGTTGATCTTCATCTTGTTATGGGCCACATCCAGGGGGAGCAAAGACTACATGGAAAGGAGTAAAGAGATAGATTTTTTCTTAAAAAGCTAAAATATCAAATTATATGAAAGAGTTCTCGAAGAAAACAAGTTATTTTACCTGACTTTGCATCTGAACTGTGGTGGCCACCAAGTTGGTAGGTCGAGAGGCCACGTACCTCTCAAAGGTTATGGTGAGTTGGCATTCTAAAAGGATGTAAACCACCAGTCGTAAATGGTTTGGTAGTTGCCCTAGAAGATCCAATACAGACAGGTTAAGCCTTGTAGCGGCGTGAACCCCTTCGACCTATTGCTCGCCTACGTCTTGTTCGCTTGCTTCTCCTTGAGCGGCTGTAGTCCATCCCTTTTTCCCTTACGAGCTCCTGGGGGCAATCGAGGGCCCAGAGCGTCCCTTGAGATCATCCCCGTAGAGAAGAGTTGATAGGACTATAGCCTATCTGGCAATATCCCAAAACCTTCTAGCTCAGATTTGGTTTCCTCTTCAGTGGGTATTGTCTTCCTCTTCTTTGACTTCTGGTCCATGTTTTCTTCCTCGGCGGACGAGCAGCAATAGGCCAGGGAGCTTTTTCATGTCGCTTAGTGGTTTGTTGCCTTTCGGCACCAATTTGTATCCCTTTTACAAGGATATCGCTGGAGGTCGCTCCAGCTGGTCCAATTGGATTAATCCCAGGGAATGCAAACCCCTTAGGCTTCTTCGTCGTCTTTGCAACCTTCGGTGGCATAGTTGCTGCATGGCATAAAGATGCGTCAACAAAGAGAGTTTTCTTTTGTTAAAAAAGATTTAGAGTTTTTCTGTGTAAGAAATACTTATGAGTTGGATCGTCCAAAGATGCGTCAAGATTGAAAAACCTGTACTTCCAAAGGTTGGCAGTAGTCACAAGTAGCCTTGCGTTGCGACTCTAGTCGAGCAATCAACCAAATGCTTCAATGCGGCTGCGATCAACTAGTGCCGACAATCTGGTCGTTTTGTTTCCTGCAAGAAAGCAAAAGATTCGTTAGCCTAATGTATTAAGGAAAAGTTAAAGTTAAAAGATAAGCGATCTGGAAATTAGAAGGAAAATCTATTCGGCTCCTTAAATTTATAGACTCCATTGTACTCGAAGAAAAAATACTTGGTTTCATAAGCCCCAACGTTGCTGGGCTAATCAAATATCCCTCCCTCGATCGTTGATCGCTTGGAAAGGTAGTACAAATCTTTGTCTTTACTCCTTTTTAAGTAATAGGCATGACCGAGTTCCTCTGTTGTTGGCTCGCCGAGGTTGTGTTCGCCAAATACGATTTACATAGCGACCACTATCATATATGCATTTGACATCAACTAGAATGGCACGATCTGGAAGTGGTCGAGGATTGACCTAATGTAAAGGTGAAACGATATCCTCACTCCACATTTAAAGATTACTTTCGAGATTGCGGCCAATCCCTTGGGAGGATCCTGAGCAGTGTGCGACTTGTGTTGGAACACGTTTACGTTGATCGCATATTGGTCAATTGCTCTTTGGATTTTGTCATTTGAAACTGTTGATCGTATCACTTTCTGGGACCCGTCGAGGTGCCCAGTGGTTACGAGCTTCCCTCTCCTGCTATTCTTGCCTCAGGGATGTCCATTGCTCTTAGAGTCTGTAAAGGGGCGACATGTAGAGGTGACTTAAACTCCGTATAAGTTACCTCTTACGACGACTTAGAAGAGTAGAATAACCCTGGTTCCTCTTCCATATTTGCCAAAACCCTAAAAATTCTTAAGAAAGATTTTATGAAGATCTGTGTCCTAAGTTTTGACTCTTAAAAGTGTTTCTTTTCAAACACTACCTAAGAATGTTCATCATCTAAGCCTACCAGACGTTCACACCCACCATTACTGTAAAAACTAAGTTTTTTGACAGGAATGAAAAAGAGAAGAAATTTCTTTACCTCTTAATTGCTGGGAATGAATATTCAGTCATAGTGTTGAGTGCGCATCAACCAGGAAAAGGATGAACTAATCTTTTGAGTGTAAAAACGTTGTTTTTCTCTTTGAAAGTTTGAGTTTTGTGAAAAAAACTTAGAATGGGCTTTGGGTTTTATAAGGTGGAAGACGGCGCTTGTTATAAGCGACGTTTGGGCACGAACGCGTTTCCAGCGATTGATTGTGACCACGTGTCACTAATTTACGCAAAGAGTAACCTTCAATCTTTGCGAAGATCAACTAGCGTTTCTCTTTATTGAAATCACCAAACGCCGGCGTGATTATCTCTTCCACATTAAATGCGCCCTCATCCGCATTTAATGCTTCAAAAGGGAATGTCGTTTCAGCATGGCTTGCATTTAATACTCATGGCTGGCACTTATTGCGCATAGACTGTCTGTCAAATAAAGCTTATTTTATTGACCAAGACAGCTGTCAAACTCAACAGATAACATCTGAGGAGGTTGTTCAAATAAGATATTTTTTTCCACATGTCAAATTCGAATACCAAGCAAAATGATTCTCAATTGTCGACAGCAAAATGTTCTAAGTGTTTTCAGGTCGTGAATGACTGGTAGAGTACGAAACACATTTTCATAGCACTGATTATGATTTGGATCAGGTTACCAGACCTTTGTGAACGATCACGTCCGGTCGCTTGTGTAGTTCTTGAGACCCATGTCACGATCTACACTCAGTTCGTTGGTCGAGTCAAACTATCAGCCTCATGTCGTTTGCAACAATGTGGTTGTTCTCAACTGCTAATTCGGGCTAACACTCCTAGAAACAAGTCAGGTCGTGACATATTCATGAAGTTCTCAAGATTCAATATTTAAACCTTAAGAATTGGGGAACTTTTGTTATACCTAAAAAATCAGGGTTGACGTTGGCCTACGTCAGCAAGCACCAATTAGAGTTTAGGAAGGCTTTGCACCATCCAGGTGCTACCACGTTGCTCCATGACAGAAATAATATGGCTATCACCAACTAACCAGATTCAGGTTTTGCCTATGAGTGACCGAGGACCGCACACATATCCAAGGCCTAGATAATTTGAGGATATTTCCTAAGTTATTAGCCAATGGGAGGCAATAAAGGACTTGCACGACACCTATCCACTTGCAGATTTATAATCATTATCTTGAATTCCTTTACTATAAACAAATGACTCACCCTCTCATTTTGGGGATTCTGATACTGAACCCTCATTCTGATTGTAATATTTATTTTCAAAGCAAAGATAACTTACGAGAAAGAGACTAACTTGATATTCTCTTTGACTAATTAATTATTGTATATTTGTTCGTTATTCGCTTTACGTGACCTCTTGTAATCTCTCATGAATAAAAGAAACAGTGGACGTATACTTCACTTTAAGCATCCGAACCACTTTAAAAATCATATCTCTCATTTATTATTTAGTTTTGTATCTGATTATAATAATTCACATGTAATTTCTAAGAACAGCTTAACACTTTACACGTATGAGTCGTTAGTGTCAAAATCATATATAAAAAATATATATTATTTAGAAATGAAAATGATAAGTATAAAGTGTTACAATTTTTTACGAGATTGAATACAAAAGAAACAAAAACAAGAGGGAACTCAGGCAAATACTGGTGATAATAATAATGGAGAGAAATTCAAGATTAAATTTCCAGTGAAGCTCGGCCGGTGAATCGACAAGCACGTGACGTTGACAATCCACAAGGAAAAATCCCAGATAGAGCCAAAGACCATTCATCCATTCATGGCAGTAAATTTTCCAAATTGGAAATTGAAGCAAAGCGGGAAACATGTGACCTGTACTAACCATATCTGACAACAAAACTAAAACCCAAAATTAAAATTATGGAAAGGTGGCTGCCTCTTTCTTCTACCTAACGCTCTTCACTCTCTCCCACGTACTCTTTAATGTAGTCTCAGTGTCTCACTCTTCAACAGTGTCCACTTCCACAATTCTTTCACTCACCAAACTCCCAAAGTTTTCTCATTTTTTGATCTCAATAACTAAATGTGGCAACTTCTATTGGCTGCAGCAGCAGCTGCAGGATCCACCGGCCTTTTGGCTAAACATCTGTTCAGCCCTAGCGCCAAAACTTGCAAAGAAGATGATCAAAATGAAAAACAAACGAACCCTTTTGATGATGATGTGAAATATCAGTCGCCTGCGGTGGCAAGTGGTGGAAATGTATGTGGGTATGAGAGTAATCGCGAGAAAGAAGAAGGGATCTTTAGGTTTTCGAGCTCGGAGTCTGGGGGCAAAAGCGGGTGTCGAAGTGAGTCAAAAAACGTTAAGAAGAAAGGCGGAGGGAGGGCTAAGAAGAATATAGAGAATGAGAAAAGATCTGGCGGTGTTGATGTAAGTAAAAGGAGAGTTGCTGTTTGCTTGAAGAAGGGGAGGACTACCAAGAATGGATCTTGTTCTACTAAAGGTTAGATTTTTTTTTTTTTTTTTCTTTTGGTTTGGTTGCTGAGAAAAGTGTAAAATTTGATAGATTTTTAGTGTAGATCATTTTATATCTTTTCATTGAGAACTGAAAAAGTTATATTATTTACCAACAGAGTATTAATGGTCTTTTCTTTTAATTTTCCCCTGTTACCAAGCAAAATCTTAGGCTTCCCATGTATAAAAAATGGCTCTTGCTCTGAGATTTATAGCTTTAAATGTCGTAATATTAGTTTAATATGTGAAGCAATGACATCTTTGCTATAAGTTGCCGAGAGAAAGCCAATTTAAACATTTCATGGTGGTTCTAACTGTGTATATCACACCCATATATATAATAATTGAAAACTTTTGGGAGATGGGCCAAAGTTTCATGAGGAGTTCATAGTTTATGGTTAAATTTAAGAATATAGGTAATAATGCTTGTCTCAAAGAAATTCTTGACTTCTAAAATGAAAAAGTTATAAAGAACGACTCTTTATAGATAATATTAAAAAAGATGATACCTATGGCCATTTCCATCTGTCTTAGTTTAGACATGGAGGTCCCTCAAGTGAAAGTTTGATTGGAAAGGTGTTCTTGTTCTTATACAAATAAAACATCTTTCAAACCATTGATAATAATTAAAACCTGAAATATTGATCTTAATAATGTGAACTTTTGATGTATTCATTCTTATATTATGTTTGATTAATTTTTCATGAAGAAAATTTTTATGTATGTATTGATATACTGGGTCATTGTTTCTGACCTCATAAGGAAGCAGTTATCTCCATTATCTCACATTTGTTCTTCAAAGTCACATCTGGTTAGATTGTTGGAGAATTCAAATTTCATCCATAAGATTGTTGGAATTACTTTTAATATTAGGTCATTTATTTGTTAATTTTATCTCAGCATAGACTCTAACATTGTCATAGATTTTAACCTTATCATATTTTTTTCTGGACAAAGAACCTTTCGTAATAAGAATTATGGTTGTAAAAAGAAACATACTTGATCATAATAGTTCAGCCCTTATTGTTTGGTGTCATCAAATGGCCTAATTTAAGATCATAATCATTAGTTTTGATGGTTTTGTGATGCTAGATAGTATTTCAACTGAAAAAGTTCGTGTTAAATGAAAACAGCCTGACTAGTAATAAGCATATGATGCTTTCCTCCTGAGTCTTACAAATTCCAAAAATATTGAAAAAAAATTGATAGCTGTCACCATTTTTATTATCTAATAAGAAATACTTGTTTACGGTTTCAGTGACTGGTGCTGATTTCAGTTTGGTAATTTGGAGTTAATAAATGGAATGGTCTTTAATTTTTTGTCCGTTGTTAGATATACTTAATGTATTTGTGTAATTTTTGGTTATCATTGTAATTTGTCATGCTATACTTTCAGATAGCTCTTCGTTTAATTGGGGACTTGGTGTCGGAATCATGTACATGATGTCAGCTGGGAAATCTGAGATAACTAAGCTGAACATAGCAATGGATGAGACTGCCAAAGTTGTCCAGGAATTAAAATCTGAGCTAAGTAGAAGAAAATCATCACGCAGAGTGGAAGGTTTGAGTTCTGAAAATGAATCAGCTGCAATCTCAGAGAACACAAGCAGCAAGCACACTCAGAAAGTGTTCGATAAGTCAGGTACTGAGAGCAGAGATGCTAATGATATTAAGGTGTTTGGTTTTCCTTCAGTTGATGATGGTGAATGTGGAAGTAGTATTCTTACTGATGATCGAGATCCAGAGGTGCGGGAAATGGACCAACTGGAAGCAGAACTTGAGTCTGAACTTCAGAAATTACCTTGGTGCATCCCAGAAGCTTCTTGCCATGAAGACATGAAAGTGAACATGCAAGAGGTAAGTTTTTTCTAGTATATCTGGATACTTCCTGTAGATGTAAATTGTATTTACCACTCGAATGTTTGCCTGCCCCTCGTGCTGGCGCATTTTTCCTACTCCTATTAAGATTTGAGTTATGTATAGATGAGATTAGTGGAAATATTATCACTTTTTATATTTTGTCTGATCCATATGGATCTGAGTTATCTATTTACACTAGTACTAGTTAGTGTATACTATATTCTGTATACCTATCATCATATAATATTGGGTTCACACTTTCCGAATGTGATTAGAAGTAGGATTGTTGACATCATTATTGGTAGATAGAAAAGAAAAAGGCAGAGAAATGTAACAATTGTAACCAGATTATGAGTTCTATGATTATTCCATGTGTATGGTTGTTAGAGAAGGACTAGATGCACCAACTATATGGCAAATGTTGATGGACAGGGCCAATAATTTGCCCCGGATTGCCTTTGCTCTGATCAATTCTAACAACTATTTTTCCATTGACATTACCAAATTGTCTCACATTAACTATAGCAATTTTTCTGCAGACTAGGATTTCAACTAAAGGGTTACATGAACTGCAGGGGCAGAGTTCTGATTGTTTCCAAACTCAAGGAGTATCACCATCTGAACTGGATCAGAAACTGTCCCGTTTGCTCATTGAACAGCAGGGAAACCAAATCGTGGGCCTGGAATCTGAATTGCACGTGGCTCAATGCAAACTTCATGAGAAGGAAGCTGAACTTCAGACACTGAAGGACTGTGTTAGACGCCTGACCAAATTCTCTCTCTCAACTGTCCCAGGTAGGATTGATCACCTCCTCAACCCAGAAAAAGTTTCCCTACACCATTTACCAATACAACCAACCGGCTATGAGATGTTATATCCGTGTGTGACATACGTTTCATGATTATTTGGGTGTCATTTAACTATTGTAAAGAAGACTTTCTCCCTTAGTGTTGCTCTTAATTTTTTTTATTTTTTATTTTTTTTGGCTGCAACTACTGGAGTCTGTGCATAATGCTAAATTATTGTAATTTTTACATACTAATTTCTTCTTCTTTTTTTTTTTTTTTGGTTTCAGATGATGAAGCTGAGGCACAAGAGGAGCAGGAGTGTAGAAATGAATGGAACTGCAATAATGAGGTAGAATTTGAATCAAGGCAGGTGGTTGGGATGAAAAGACATATTGAAACTGAATCTTGTTATTATGTAGAATGAACATTATATATGGAGGCTGAGAATGTAATTATAAATGTAGAATGACATTATATCTCCAGGGTGAGAATGTAATTTAGTATGCAATCATAAAATGCCTCCAGATAAATGCCATGGATGCCCACATCAGGAAGAGTAAAGGGCTTTTTCCTACCCAAGGTTTGCCTTAACAACACTTTCCTACCCAAAAAATTTCAAAATATCATTTTCTCATTCAAAGTTTATATTCCAGTAATACCTATAGCCAATTCCGACGGCAAAAATTTTCTCCGTCACCACCATCATAACCTCCAGTCTCTCCTCTATAAAATCTCTTTTATTTTGGCATTTGATTTTTCAATGATTATCAGCCACCGTAAATTTAGGGTATTCGACCAACTTATTTTTGGCGGCGAATATTAAATTGATCACTATCATTTGATCGATCATCCTCCATTTTATGAAACATTTTTTATCCTAGTTTCTAGTAACTCTTTGAACGGCAGTTGAAAAATTAAGATGTATTTTGAATATTAATAGAATATAATCTTTGGGTGAGAAAGTGATATTTTAAAATTTTATTTAGAAACTGTCATTAAGGCAACCCTTGGGTGTGGAAAAAGTCGCTTACTCCGTCAGTAAATATTACAAGTCCCCTTAAATGCACATTGCTTGTCTACTCATTAAATTAGTTATGATTTTTTTTTTTCATTTATATTCCTAGTGTCCGGCGGTGGACTCTGTAGACCCAGCGATTCTGATTTCTGATTGACTATTTGACTTAGCTGGTCTGATTGCTTCATAGTCAAGCTCTTTTATGAGTGCCAGCAAAGCCCCCTGATATTTTAGTTGACTTTTTGTTCTCTTGTTGTGAAATGATATTACTTATTAGTCCCTTGGTATTGAGGGAAATTACCAAAATAAATTGTGAACAGTTCTTGTATTGATATGAATCTGTGGGGATAATGTTGGAAAAGGATGTGGTCGGTACTTATACAGACACGAGTTTTAAGTTGGGTGGAGCCACGATGATGAGAGTTGTGGAAAAAAGATTGCTTTTATTTTTTTTTTCTCATCCTATGATGAGGATGCAAATGCAGTCCTATTTCTGCATAATTTTACCCATGAAAGTTCAAGAAATGATAGCTCCTTGAACCCTTCTGTTAAAAGTCCAAAAAGCTGAGAAACTTCACAGAATTATGTATCAGAGGAAAGGGCTTGTTATGAATGTCAAATGAGTTAAGAAAAGCTTGTGTCAAATCCCGGTCCAATTAAGTAGAAAATTGTTTACTTTGAAGTTTGAACTTGACAGTGCATGTTTGTTTTTGGTTTCACAGAAGTCTAATAGTATAGATATAAATTTCTTCTTGATGGGTTGATCTTATGATATACAAAAGTCATTTCTTCTTACTTTGAAACAAGCTTTAGTGCTAATGGTAAGCTGCAGCCTATGTTGCTTCATACCAAAAGAGAGAATGTTGTAATGAGAAGTCAAAAATGGTGATGTCTCCTTATCTCAAAGATCGAACATAGCAACATATAACCTGATTTTGCTGAAGGAAAAGCCTCAACTTGACTCAAAACTAGATCAGTTTCTTGCACCATGATTATGGGAAAATCTACAGTTGACTCAAAGTTAGGTGGGTTAATTTCATTGTTTCAAGACTAAGGATCTAACAGCAGGTTAATTAAGGCAAGTACTGATCGAATGATTTCTGTATTCTTTTCTTATTGTTCAAGACAATTGTTTTATGTTTCAGAAATTTGCTTCAAGTATGAATTTAGCTGTTGATTCACTTGAGTTTACTTGCCCAAATTAGGTAAAGAAAAAAGTTGTTGATATCATTAATTTTTTACTTATGTATTCATTCTGTAAAGCAACTATGAGTAACCATTTGATGGGAAAAGAACAAATGAGGATTTAATATGGTTTCCTAAGTTCGAGTTCCTTTAATGGTAAAAGAGTAAGAGAAGGATCTAATATGGTCTCCTAAATTCGAGTCCCCTTGAGGGTAGAAGAGTAAGAGGAGGATCTAACATAGTTTCTCAAGTTCAAATTCTCACAATTACTAAAATGGTGGCCATTAGAACTTTTGCTTAGCCGGTAGTTTTAAAGTCCCGAGTGATTAGCTGAGGTGCATGTAAACTAGTCCGGACACCCCCAGTCATTAAACAAAAAAAAAAAAACTATTTATATTTTGAGAGAGAATTGAAACACTTGGAAATCCCAAGTTTTAAGTTAAGATTTTTTTATGACCTTTCTTTTTCTTGTTTAATCAATTCAAAGCCTTAACAGTGAACAACAACTAGTTGATGGCCGTCGTCCCCACAACCAAAATGACAAGGTGGGTTCATTTGAATTTTCAAATAATAATTAGCTTTGATTTCTATGAATTAAATAAATGAATGTTACTTGATTTCAGTAAAACAATCATCTTGTAAACAACCTTTCCCTCCTTTATTTAAACTCATTAAAAATCAAATATTTTTATGAAAATTTGTGAGCACAGAATCATAGAATATACAATATTTCATTATTTTTCAATCATATAATAAAAGATAGAAGGCCTCAAATTGAAACACATGCAGTGACAGTCCAACTAAAACCCAAAAAATATCAGACGGCTGTGGTTGCTCCAAATGCACTGTTTAGTTATGATACGCATGTTGCTTAAGAAAAAATAAAAACTGGACAGGCCAAGCCAAACACAACCCTACAAGAGTTTTGAATAGAAAAATCTTGACAAAGGATTCACCCATCCGTGCGAAGATAAAATAAACCAGTCACTGAAACGCAGAAACAAAAACAAATAAAAGCGAAACAAAACAAAAAAACAACTACAACAAAGGGGTGACCCCATAACTACTTCTTCTTCTTCATTTCTCTGCAAAACAAAGAACAAAATAAAACTACCCAGAAAGACAAGCGAGAGGAGCGAGATTAATAAAAGATGAAGGTCTTGACAAAGCCCATGTCGAGTCCGGGTCGGGCTGAGAAGTATCCGCCACCGTTGATGCGGTTCTTGAGAAGCAATGTTGGGAGCAGAAGCAGAGGGAGGTCACGTTCAAGTCCAATGTTTGTGCTCCGAAGGAAGACTGCCGCCATTGAAACTCAAGAACCCACTTCGCCGAAGGTCACATGCATGGGACAGGTCCGGGTCAGACGGTCAAAACAACCCGGGAAACGAACCGGAGCCCCGACGACTAAACGCCGGTGTAAGTGGATAAAAAAAGCCTTCTTTTGCCGCCATTTCGATGGGAAAGTTAAGCCCAAGTCATTGAGACCCGTTTGGCGCAAGTGGGTAATGTTCTGTCGAATGAGTTTCCGAAGTAAAAGTAAAATTAGAGAAGAATCGTCGAAAACAGAATCGAAATTTGGCAGTAAAAGTGAAGGTTTTGTTCAAGAAGAAGCTGAAGAAGAAGAAGAAGAAGAAGCTAAAGTGTTCGTGTCAACTTCTTCTTCACCGCCAAGAAACGCTTTGTTGTTAACAAGGTGTAGATCTGCACCGTACAGGTCATCATCGTTAGCCAGTAGATTTTGGGGGTCGCCATTAGCGAGTGAAGAAACAGAGCAAGAAGAGGCAAGAACAACAACAAAAACAGAGTCACAAAACAGAGGAGACGAGAATCCCACATCGGGAAGAGAGTCCATTTGCAGAGATTCGGATCAAGAATCGAGAATGGATCCAGAAACTCAGGAAAAGTTGGGAGTTTGCAAAGAATTTGATGCTCCAATTAATAAAATTAGAGAAAGGTTTATGAAATCTGAAGAAGTGAAAACAGAGGAAATGGTAACTGTACACCCTTTGATACTCACTAGGTGTAAATCCGAACCGGCGAGAACCGGAGAGAGGCTGGACCCAGATATGATTTTTTTAAAGAAAAGAAGGTTGGGTTTCTCATGAATTAGTTAATTAATTAAATTTTAATTTGTTTTTACTCAATTTCTTTTCTATATGTTTGGATTTTTTGGCAACTTAACTGAATATAGTTTTTCTTTTTTTGTTTTGTATTGTATTGTTTTGTATTTGATTACTCTGTATTTTCATCTCTGGAGCTGTACAGATAATCTCTATGGCTCTATGGTAAAATATAAAATAGCCATAAAGATGGAGCAGTGGCTGGCAGTGTACAAAACAATGAAATTTTGTACACTGCCAGCCACTGCTCATGGGCACTTGTATTTATTAGTCTTCTTGTGCTGTCAAATTTTTGTTTTGTTTTTGTTGTTTTGGTTTTACTGTTTTTCATCCTTTTTACTATACTGTTTATTTTGCTTTATGGGTTCTTTGAGTTATGGCACTTTTATTTTTATTTATTTATCCGTTCATCTTTGGATACTCTGACCAACTTTTTCTCTTGCTAGAAAGTTTATACAATATCTTCTTGAGGTGACCCACTTCTTATTTTTATCTGCTCAAGTAGCCTAGAAAATTTTTAGTAGACGTTGTTTATAGTGAATGAAGTCGGAGTATCTCTATAGCAGCCTATAGGCTTTGTTTGCCTTTTTCTTTATTCTTGTTTTCGAGATGCAGCTGGGACCTCGTATTATTTAACCTATCAAGATCAATTGCTTAAATGATAGTCAAAAGAATCTGCAATCATGTGCATCTCACGTTTTGTTTTGTGATTGCTAATTGACCTCATTAAAGTTTGAAAAGACCATTTTTATTAAGAAACCTAACTCTTTTATCAGTACTTTCTGGATAAGAAACATGAGGATGAAGATTCTAGTTGGATTGAAACTTCTTGTTTCCGGCAAAAGAAAAAAGAAAATCTGGGTTAAGATTATCAGATTGAAAGCCTCTTTTGGACAGATATATTGCAATACTCTTTTTTCTGCAGTTGGCTGTTACTGTCAACCCCATAATATCAGAGCATAATTTGGCCATACTCAATCTTGGCTTTTTTCATTGTGATTTAATTTAGCCTTGATTATCTTTTATATCTCATAAAGTTCTTGTAAAAGAACTGTAAAATTGTTGACTGATTGTGTCTTTATAAATTATTTGAAGTATAACTCCAAACAATAAAGTAGATCAGAGATCTGCTGTGGGGTACCAATTATGATCTGCTAATAGGAGAAATGGCAACTCATATCAGTACTTGGCGGGTTATGGCATTCATTGATTTCTTGTCAAATGAAATGTACTCTTTCATTCTTTCGTTATGATGAATTAAAACCTGAAATAATACATCATTTTGACAACAGAAAATATGTGATCAAAACAATTCCCCCAGTGTCTCAAAAGAGAAGGTTAAACGCCCATTGGTGCATCCAAAACGTAGCAGGTAGGGGAAAAATAATTGAGTTAATTTCTTTGTTTCACTAGTTCAAAAACAAAAACAAAAAACGAAAAAAAGACCCCAAAAGCATAATATTGCAGAGATTATGTTTGGTACCGACTGTCTGCCACTAGATTGGAAAGCTTATTGCAGAGTTCATAAGTTCAGTGCATGTCTCAGTAGAGCAGAAAATGCAGCAATGTCAATGCATTTGGATATTGGATTTGGCAATTTTCATTGATGCAGCCAATAAAAAACAACCAAAAGAAGTAAAAGGAAACAAAATTCACAGCTTTCTGCAGCTGCAAAACTTTTATGTGTTCTACCAGCTGCAGTCCAATGTTTTCACAGATCACTAATCCATTATTGGACCTCTATGGGGATAGTCATGAAGCAATTATAAGCAACTTGGCCACCCCATTTCCCTAAAGCTTTATTGTCAAACATTTCAATGGAAAATTAGAGAACAGGACATTATCACATCCACAGAACATGGGATTCGTTTCCATATCACAAAAAAAAATTTAATTTCCTCATAAAAATGATGATGAACTTTATGTCTCATCTTCTTCTCCTTCCTTCTCCATTTTTATGCCACTTTCTAATATTGGGCCGCTGTACATGATTACATCCACTAATCTTTAAGGTTTCTCATCAGCATGTTAAATGCGAAAAATACTGAGCACAAAATAAAGACACCAAATTTGAAATGATAAGAAATAGAACTTGTAAACCAGAAAATGTCGAGGGTGTTTTGTTTTATTATTCCTATCCTATCATATTCAAAATATATATTTGTTTAACTATTTTCAAAATCAAATTTTATCTTACTTAACTTAAAATATTTAGATTTTTTTAACCTTTAGGTTTGTTAATTTAACTAAACACTCCCAATAATAAAAGTTAATAAATTGACAAAAACACCCCCACTTATCCATATATTTACGGCAGCCGGGCATTTAATGGATGGGTGGAGGTGTTTTTTTTAATTTTAAAACTTTTATTGTAAGGGGTGCTTAACTAAATTAATAAATATAAGGGATTGAAAAGCAATTTTACCAAACAAATTTTCAAATTCAAATCATAACTTCGTAATAATAAGTAATAACCCAACTCAACTTTTTCAAAAATAATAAAACGCCCTTATATTTGTACTGTTCCTTCACGAGTTAGTTCAACCAATAAATTCACATTCTCTAACAAGCTGGATATTAAAGGGTCCGTTTGTTTTATTATTTTGTATAGAATTTTGGGAATAATATAGGTAGTTGAATAAGGGGGTATTACGAGGTAAAATTTAAAAATTTATAAAAAAAACCCCCCTAGGTTTGCTAATTTAACTAAACACCCAATATATAAAATTTTTGTAAAATAAAAAAAACACCCTCACCACCCGCAGTGCCAGATTCCGGCCACCACCGTCGGAATCTAGTCGAAAAATTGCGTAACGACACATACTGGTCGGATCTAGTGGGTATGGCATTGATATGGCCTTTTCCGGTCAAATCCACCACGGATCTGGCCGGAAAAGGCTAGATGTGGCCATCAACGGTCGCAAAAGTCCATATTTGGCCGTCAATGATGGCCAAAGATATGGCCGTTGTTGTCGGTCAACGACGACCATTTCTTTGGCCTTCAAATCAATGAATTACCGGCTAGTTCCGATCATGGTATAGGCTGTTGTGACAGATTCCAGCTACCACCGATGGTGGTTGCTGGAATCTGACAAGTATGGGTCGGTGGGAGTGTTTTTGTTAATTTTTAAACTTTTTTTGGGGGTATTTATGAAATTAATAAACTTAAGGGGTCTGAAGTAATTAAAAAAATATAGTAATATTTCTCATATGATGTTTCAAACAATATTTGGAGAATATGATTGAGAATATTGTTAGAAATATGGACCAAACCTCCCAAAAGATGGCTGCAATCCATTGAGAAAATGTTGCATCATATGAATACAAAAATACAAAAACCTCCACCATCTTCTTCATCTGGGTCCTGCCCAGTTATCATTATTTTGCCCTGAAAATGTTTATGTACCCAGCACCTGCATTTACTGTTTGGCTGGATTTGGTAACCTTCTCAAAATCCGGCATCAGGACTATCCATCTATTCGCTGTATATGGAAGTGATATGAATGTATAGGTTCATTCAGAATCTATTCTTTTTGATGCCCTAAATTGATGCGTGCACATCTTCAAGAATATGTGAATAAATTCTTCTGACACAATCAAGGTATGGGAAACTGAAGTTTCCTCTCTCTCTTCAAGCACTATTGTGAGTCAATAATTTCATGTGAATTTCGAAGGGACATTGAAGTTAATGTCTCCAATCAACAATTAAAAAGCATTCATGCAGGTGGTAGCATCCTGGATGCAGCTACTGATATGCAGAAGGCAATACCCATTCCCATCCAGCCTTATCCAGATCACACCATGCCATAGCTGCTAATGTTGGACCAAACTCAACATTAATTCGAAGCCATATGGGTATATACAGGGGCGGATTCAGCCCCTTTGAGGCCTACCCACATATTTGAAAAAAAATTTATTAATATACATGCCATAAAAAATTGTTAATTAACATATATATCCAGACGCACCTTCAAATTTTTAAAAAATAAAAATTATTATACATATTGTATATCTATGTCTACAAAAAAATTTGTTATTAATATATATATATTCCAAGCTCATATTATATTAAAAGTTTAAAATTCTCTCCAGTGTTTTTCTACACAGCTTTACCTGTTTTTTTATGATTTTATCCATAAATTCTTTACTCTCTCTTTCTCTTTCTCATGTTATTCTCTTTTAAAATTTTTTAATACTGAAATTGTTAAATTTTCGCTACTCAAGGTGTCATAATTAGCTCCATTTTCTGTTTTATAGATTTTAGGTATGTGTATTATTCATTTTAATTTAGTTTATTTAAGGATTGAATCATTTTTTTTCTTTTTGAGGTTTTTATTCTAATTTGAGAGAAAAATATATTAATCTTGTGAGTTTTTTTTGTATTTTTTGTCTAAGAATGAACTTGCTTTCTCAAATTAAAACTTTAACAATATTTTAAAGGACGTTATTCTCCATCCTTCACCCACCACTTTTCTATATTTTAAACGTCACTGTTCAGTTGTTTAAAATTATTAAAGAAATTTGAGTTACTATCTATGTTTATACTAAAAAAAATTCACCTCTTTTATTAATTCATATTAAAAGTCAACGTAACGTTGACTTGGTTTAAGTTTTGGTTAACTTTAGTTTAATTAGGTTATGTTTGAACAACGCTATGAAAATTTATATTATTATATTTGAAAGTTAAAAATAAAAATATTAAAAGAAGGTTTTGTGCAAGGTTTACTCAACACTTTTACTCAAATTTTGCTTCTCATAGATTTATTCAAGTAAGAAAATATTGTGTTAATGTATATTCTTTTTTCTCAGGTTCTTAATATTGTATTTTTTTTTTTTTTTTGTTAAGGTTTGGTGATTTTTTAAAGTTTTCACTAATTATTTGGCAAATAATGGCCGAGCCACGGAGGCCCCCCCTCGACAAAAATCATGGCTCCGCCACTGGGTATATAGCAATTCCATCTAATCAAAAGCGATAATCGAAAGGCACATTATGTGACAATCACAAGTTAGGAGCTCTGTTTGTTTGTTTAAGTTTTTAGAATAGTATTCTATTCCGAATATGATTTAATCAAATAGGATAAGATTTTGAAAATATGTTTGTTATATTGTTGGAAAATATTTTTTGAAAGTATTTATTTTTTAACTCCTTATATTTGTTAATTTAATTAAACACCCCTTATAATAAAGGTTTATAAATTAATAAAAACACTCCTACTCATCCAACAACTATTGGTGGTTCGCCAACACCGCTGAACGGTAACCGGAAGTTTTTAAAATAGTACACAATCAGCGGTCGATCGTGCGTTGATTTAACCTTTTTCAAATCAAATCAATCATGGATCTGATCGAAAATAGTCAGATCTACGGTCAAATTTGGTGTTAACAACGGCCAAACAACAGTCACGATATGTTCGCCACCTTCTTGAGAAGAGTTTTGTTCTCTCCACGTCAATTGTCATATCAGTTGTGCCTAGAGACGGACCTACGCTTTAATGTCAGAGAAGATATGTTCAAAATAAAATATTAAAAGACACAAAAAATATTCTATTTACCTTTTTTTTTTTTTTTTTTTACTTGTAATAAAATATATTTAAGTAGTAAAAGATTTATCATCTTAAACAAACGAAACCTTATTGGTTTAATAAGCAATAAAAAAAAAAAAATTGGTTCTATTTTTACATGAATGGGGTTATTTTGAAAAGTAAATTAATTCTATAAAAGTTAAAAAATAAGGAAAATACAAGATACATTAAATTAAAAAAAAAAAATGAGTGGGATCAACAGCCCCCACTGATCTCTTTATATGTGTGCCCATGACTCCACCTCACTTAAAAGATACATAAAAAGAAAAAGATATCAAAAAATCAAAATTTTAATTAAATAGAAGGTTTTTTTAATGAATTTCAAAAAAATAAAAAACGTTTCACTTAATCCCTCCATTCTTTGGATTCTCCATATTTGTTCTTGTTTTCTTTCTTGTCACAACCAAATTAATTGAAAAAATATAAAAAAATGTAGTGGCAATCATATTCTGTCATTTACACACTCTTTTGTCTTATAGTTTTTAAATCTAGAAATGTGAAGTTTTTGGCCTTATACAATTTACTTTCAAGAAATGAAACCATAATTGACAAGGTTTTGGTCCCATTAGTTTTATTTAAATTATTACATTCTTCAAGTCAAGTAATGGGCTCTAATCAATAAAATAAAGCATGTTAATAATAATAAATTATAATGGCATAAGTTGATTGAGTGATTAGATTAGATTAGGTATAAATAATTTTATTATAAAATAACTTACATAAATTTCATGTTTGTTGCCTCTTTCTCTTTTGAGTTTATTAAATAATATCTTCTGTTATTATTAAGCTCCCTTACACCCCACTCAAATATAAAAACTATACAGTTACCCCCACTGTTAATGGAGTCCTAATAGAAGTTATTAGAGTGGAGTGTAATATCGAAACTCTTCCATACAAACTAATGAAATAATACTAGGCATCGAAACTTCAGGAGAGGTTAGTGTAATTAACTCATAAATTTATAATAAATAATACTAGGTATAGAAACTCTTCCATACAAACTAATGTTTCATGAGGCGAATGGGTGAATGCATTTAAAACGTCAACTCATTAAATGCTTATAAATATAAATATGTGACGTGTTATTGAAAGAGCATTACCACGTTGGTTTGTATACATTAGTTTGTATATTTAGGGTATGTTTGATACGACTTCTTTGAGTCGAGCTTAAGGAAGAAAAGCTTATTAGAGTAGAGTTTTTATGAAAGTTTTGTTAGTTGTTTGACTAGGAAATGTAAAAGAACTTTCTAATATTAATTTATCGGTTTTAATATACAAGAATAGACTAAGAAAAAATTAAAAGATTGAACAGGGATATTTTTGACATTTCAATATTTTTAATAAGCTCAAATTTTGTGCTTCTCCTAGAAGCCATAGAATAGATTTTTTTATAATCATATAAACACTTTTCAAATGCAACCAAACAACCTAAAAAAAAAAAAAATCAAAAGTACTTATAGGATTAAAAAAGCTTTGAGAATGCATGATAGCCTTGAGAATGAGGAAATATATATAAAACAGATGCTTTTTGTTTTTGATAATTTGATTGGGTTTGTTGGGAGGCATGTGAATAAATAGTGATACATTTTTATTTTGTTGTTTGCTTTATATTTCAAATATACTTAAATATTTGGAATATACTTTTCCTTCAAACATCTCTATCCGCTCAGTCAGCCCCACCAATAATTCCCTTCAATTCATTTCTTCTTTATTATGCCACATTTAAAACTTTTAATCTCAACTTCTCTTAATCTTCAAACTATTATTACTCTTTATATCATTTCATTAAGGTTGTGATTAGATCGGACCATATAAGATAACGGGGTAATCTTTATTTATTTTACAAGATTTCGATGTTTGGTTTGTAAATAATAAAATATTATCGGAATCTTTTATTGCAAATAGTATTTACTGTTGATAATGTAAGGGGTAATCCGATACCCTCTCACAAGAGTGTTATTAAAACTTTAACTGGTAATCTGATTTTTATACCTGTTTTGAACTTAATTAAATATCATTTCGGACACAATTATCCTTAAATGTCTACCAAATAACAATTACCTAGCCCCGCTATATTTGAGAAATTAGCTAAAACACCCCAGTCACAAAAAAAAGTTTAAAAATTAACAAAATACCCTTAGCCACCCAAGACCACCATCGGCCATTACTCACCACTACCGGCCGTCAACGTCAGTCATCGTAATGGCACACGACTGGCGGGATCTAGCCGGTCGTGTGCCGATAATGCCTTTTTCGGCCATGGATCACAGAAACGATCAGATCTGGCCGTTTCACGTCCAAAAATGTGGTTGTGAAATGGCCATAGATTTGGTTGTCTCACAGCCAAAAATTTTTCCTTTTTATGGCCACATATTTGGTCGTGAAAATGTCATAGATCTGGCCAGAAATGGCTTTGCCGATGCACGGCCGGCCATATACGGCCAATCTTACGCCATTGCATCGATTGCCAGCAGTAGCCGACGGTGGTGGTTGGTTGCTGGTAGTGGCTTGGGGTGGTGTGATTTTGCTATAAATTAAAGTTTTATATGACTGGGGTGTTTTAGCAAAATTTCAAATATAGAGGGTTAAAAAATGATTTAAAAATTAATAATAATAAATAATATTATATTAATATTTAAAAAGATGTCAATTTAGTAATCTATATAATATACTCATCCATTTATTCTTCCAACCAAACATATTATTCACCAATTTGTTCGAACCAATCAAACACATTTCTTAAACATTTCCAATAGTTTTCAAAGTGATCTATCTTTCCGTTAATATAACACCCTCCTATAATAAAACATTATATGATCCAAACGCCCCCTAAAGGTTTATTGCTAGACCCCCTTGAAGTTTGATAGAAAATTCCTCCTGAAATTTTAGAAATAATATAAATTCTATGATGAGTTAATGAACATTCATTTAATCGTCTTATTATCGTTTATTTTAAAACAAAAAACTTAATATCCAACCCCAACTCGCCCCATTGACATCCTTATTGAAACTTCATATCTAGGTTTGAAGAATGAGAATAGCTTTTGAATTTAAAGTAATATACATTATTGTTGAAAGTAGATATAAGGATATAATCCTAGAAAGTAGAAACTAGCAAGTTGGCCTATACCCAAGTTTAACTTATGTATTAATTACATGATCTTTATAGTTTATTCATCCCAACTTGTTCTTGAGCATACTAATATTAGCTTATTATTCTTGCATTAAAATGTTCAAGGCATTCTTTTTAGAATCAATTTAAAACTTGAATAACACATAAAATGAAGTGACCCTTTTAAATTGAAGTGTAATCCTAATTTTATAATATGATAAGCTTGCTTTTCAAGCCAACCAATTTGTAGGCTCCAGCGATATAGCACAAATGCCCATCAATTTACCATTTATGATACATTTATTTTCCAGCAACACACTATTTTTGACACATTGATTATCATTTCAGTATGTGTTTAGGACAATCAAAACACCTATCAAATAGTTCTAAGAGTTAATTTAGTATGTATATTTAGTTCGAGTTAATTAACAAAATTAAACTTCTAGAAAAGGTTAAAAATACACTTAGAATACTTAACAAAGAAGTATCTAAATATAACTATTGCGTTGGAGGAATACCACTACCTGATGCCACCAATATTGGGTTATTGTGTATATACACAAACGTTTTAAAGACGTCGACGTATTAACTATACCAATGAACTACCTCTAGGTGGTGGGGTGGTTCGATAAAGACTCTTGAGTGTATTATTCAAAAGGTCTTGAGTTAGAATCTCTTCTTGATTACTACTAGGGATAACCACTAAAGTTCTTACCCAACCAGTAGTTTCAGAGTCCCGAAAGATTAGTTGAAGTACACATAAGTCGACCCGAACGCCCTCGGTCATTAAAAAAAAAAAAACTACGCCAATGCTAGGTCTCGACGTTTGGCTAGACATAAATGCATATAAGTTTGCTGTAGTGATTATTTCATAATAATATCAAAGAAAAGAGGAGAGAGGAATGTGAAGTCAAAGCCAGGCAAGTAAGGAAATAGTGTGTCCCAGTTCTTCAATAGGACATTTCAATAATACACACATGGTCCTGTCCAGCAGACAAAATTTAATTTAAAATAAAAACCATATAATAAAAAATAAATGAATGAAAATGAGCAAGGGTATTATTTTAGGTACAGAGTATGGTCACACTTCATAAATGTTCCAACTCAACCTATCTCAATCTTTGCCTCATAACTTATTGCTGTGTCGATCATGACCGTTTCAATTTCATTCCCTAAAAAACCTGATCCTCGCTTTGCCTTCTCCTCCTGTGCTTCTTCCGTGAATGAATGAAACTTTTTTTTTTTTTATAAATAAATCAACAAACAATCCCAAACTCATTTCATCAACCTAATTTGCTTCTTCTTCCATGGACTTCAAGCCTTCGTTCATCAATCTCTTTCTTCTTCTTCTTCTTCTCGTCTTCCTCGCTCAGCCTCGCTTTTCAATAGGTAATTTGAAGTGCGTGTTGTTACTTTTATTGCATGGTTTCGGAATACATAAATATAATATGGTGATGTTTTTTAATGAAGGTGGGTCGATGGAGATGGGTTCAACATCAGAATCAGATGTTTATGAGATTGATTATAAAGGACCAGAGACACACTCTTCAATTCCTCCACCGGATCATTCTTATCGTAAGAAGCCTATGATTCATCGTGAAAGGGCGGTGGCGTTTCCCAAATCCAACGGCGCAAAGGGTGGCAACACACTAGCAAATGTAAAACTCTTTCACGTAAAATTACTAAAAATTCATGCGTAATTTTTAGGAATTGAAATCATTTGTTTTGAAAGAAGGTTGGCAATTTGAGATTGAGTAATTTGGTTGTTTATTTTTAGAGTTCAATATTTTGTTTTTGTTTTGCAGGGAAGGAAAATTCATGGGTAGACAAGTTTTGGAAGCGAATTTGATTTTAATTTTTGTTAAAATTAATTTATATAATTCAGTTATCCTCTTTATAGATATCTAAGATAAAATGTAAATGCTAGAGATTTTTCAGCAATTTGTCTTTTTTTTTTTTGGTGACGGGGGACATCTTGGTCAACTTGTGTGCACCTCAACTAATCTCTCCAAACCTTGAAGTGAACGACCGGATAAATCTTCTCAGTGGTCACCCCTATTAGTAGAGCAATTTGTTAGTGTCTGTAAATGTGAATTAATGGTGTGATATTGTATTTGGAGTTGGAGCAATATAGTAATATTTAATTCGATTATTGTCCATAGTTTTATAACAGATATCTATATATATAAATTGAAATAGCCCTTGTTAGTTGTTATAAAATGTAAATTATACGCCATGAATTTACCTTATTTGGCAATTGAAAAAATAATCTACTCCTTTTATTCTATTATTCTCTTGATTAATCCTTTTTAATTTGTAGGAGAACACCTGTCTAAATTGTCGGATGATATAGGCTCCGTTTGGTTAGTTTTTTAGAATAGCATTCTATACTAAATAGCATTTTGGAAAATATGATAGGATTCTGAAAAGTTTTTGGTACATTTCTGAATAGTATTTTATGAAAAAAAAATTTTAACCTCTTAGGTGTGTTAATTTAACTAAACACCCCACACAATAAAAGTTTATAATTGACAAAAACACCCTTATCCGCCCACATATTGCCGGCAGCTGGCCACCACCACCGGAAGGTAATCGAAATCTGCCAGAATGGTGCACGACTGGTCGATCTGGCATTTTCTAGCCAGATCCACTGTGGATCTGATCAGAAATGATCAGATCTATGGCCACAAATTTGGCCATTATCGGCCATAACTTGGTCATCGTCAAAGGCCATTTTCGGTGAAATTCATGGTGAATCTGGTCAAAAACGGATAGATCAGTGCACGACTGACCAGATCTAACCGATCGTGCGTTGTTACGGCGACAATGGCTGCTGAAGGGTGATACTAGCTTAGGTGGGTGCAGATGTTTTTGTTAATTTTAAAACTTTTATTGAGAAAGATAATTGTTAATATTTTAAGTTGAATAAAATATGATTGGATTTTGAAGAATATTATAACAAATGCATTTTTGGGTTTTTAAGATAGGATAGTGGGAAAAAAGTGTGGCAATTGGAGGGAATGTCTCTCTCATTATGCTTTTAAATTTACGGTTGAGCAAAATTCATTTGTTTGTGTATGATTTGATTAGACTATAGGGTTGATTTGGCTCAAACTGATATGCCCAATGTCGGTTTACTCAATCAGTAATAGATGGGATTATTCATTATTGAATTCATAGGAATATTACAAAAATTAATAAAGATTTAGAGTGATGGAGGTTACACATGTAATGTAATGTGTGATTAAGGCATATATGAAAGTAACATCGTAAATCTAAAGGAAAAGATATTGGAGGCAGTTGAGGGAACAAAAAACAAAAGATGGTCCTCCTATGAATTAATGCCTCTGAATTTGTTATTAATAATTTTAACTACTTGAGAGAGAAAGAAATCATATAACATTAACCAATTCAAAAACCCCATTCTGATTATGTTAATCATACTCGGGAAAAGTCATTATAAAAATAATCAATGTTTTAATAATCAACCCAGAATCCAGCAAAGTTTTCGGATCCCGGTCTAATCTGCCGGTCAAACTAGGTGTCCAAAAGCTTAAAATTTAGTAACTACACCCTTACAAATTACAGTTAAGTCCTTATAAGTTTGAAATTTAGCAAACACACCACAAATACATATCAGCGATCGACTGGTTGGCAGCAGCGACACACCATGTGCAATCTCAATCATCCTTTGAGCCATTCTCCAAAATAACTACCCAAGATCTGGCCGAAATTTGTTCAATTTTGACCATATCTCACTACCACCGGCGTTGACAACCTAGACCAGATCTCACCACCATCAACGTCGACAACCCTTCCTATCACCACGAAAATACTCCCCTTAGCCTCCTGACCAAAACCCATCTCACCCCACCCCCGTTCGCCTCGCCAATCAATGACAACAGGTGGTTGTTGCCATCGCAAGTTTTTTTCGATTTTCAATCGATTCACTCACTAGAAATTACCTGCGTCGCCACCATTGCACTCACCGGTCCTTCCTCTTCAAAACCCCTAACATCCTGGTCTTCAATTGTTGGCCGATCATCATCCCAATTTCTAGGGTTTTCGGTGAATAGGGAAATTAGTAACCCAACCCGGTGCCTAGTTCAACTGGCTAGGCCAGGCCAGGTTTTAAAACATTGAAAATAACCTCTTATTCTCCATCAATCAAATTAATTAAACCAAATGTTTGTCAACTATATTCAGATAATCTATTTTAGGAAATTGAATACTTGGAGACGATAAAAATCTATGATTACAAAACGAATTAATCCTATGAGGTTAAGGCCACTGATGATCTTCTAAACCTACACACACAAAGAAAAAAGCATGAAACTTACGATAAACATCGGTGTGGTGTATGTCATAGACACTTCGACACTTAAATCAATGAGGTTGAAAGAGACTATTTAGTGAGGGCTAAGGGGAGGAAGAATCCAATCAGAGACTAGAAGTATGATGAAGGTGCTAGTCCTTAAGAGCAAGAACTTTAGGAGTTAGTAGGTGTTATTAAATAATGGATCATTAATGAGAGGTTAGATTTTTGTTTATATAGTGAACATAGGATCTTCGAATCCTAGTAGGACTCTGAGTTCATAATGGAAAAGTTTGGGTAAATAAGAAAGTCTTGATTTATTTGCCATCGTAGGAGTATGAGTCCTAATTCATATAAGATTTAGGATCTTAGAGGAATTAGGATGTAGATGTTAGGAAACGATCCAATTACGCAGCGGAAAACAAAAAATATTTACGACATGGATCTTTCCTTAGAACCAATATCAGGGCACAAATTTACAGTTTATATATAAAGTAAGAATCTGCAGAAAATCAGTTTAGAGTTTAAGAAATCATACGCACATTTGGAGGCTTCTCCAACTTGTCTCTGAGCATATTTCGCTACCGACCCAAGTGTAGGATTGAACTGGTGTGGTCCATATGAAGATAACCTCAAGGAAATAAAGAGTGATTTGCTAGATCCTCTTTAGCCTTTAAGAACCAAGAAGAAAACAAAGTGTATTTGATTTTTTTTTTTTTTTGCAAAAACCAAAACTGGCGTAAGAGTGTTTCAAGGGGCTGGAGTGTTTTTTCTTTTCAATGAATCAAATGAGTAAATGAATATCTCTATCAATTCACAAAAAAACTTACACTTATATAGTGCAAGTGTAATTGCCCTATTCCCTTATGGAATAGGCTTGGGCTCCAACCCAAACACCCCTTGTATCCAAACATTCCCATTTAGATATTTTAATTTTAATTTATCATTATCTCAATTAAATTCAATCTATATATTTATATAATGCTGAAGCATACTGCTTCTTCTGACGCCATGTAGGATTGATATATGGTCGACATGTAGGATGTCGTTAATTGGTCCACATATTTGCTGTTTATTGGGCTTGCTATAATAGGGATTATTCACATGCATTCAATTAATGTATTCAATACAAATCTTTCACATTCCTCTTTTAATTTGATAAATTACTAATGATTCGCTTGTGTGTTATTGATTTCCATGAATATTAAGAGATTGTTATAATAGAAATTATTCACATGCATTCAATTAATGTATTCAATACAAATCTTTCACATTCCTCTTTTAAATATATTTATATAATGTTGAAGTATACTGCTTCTTCTGACGCCACGTAGGATTGATATATGATCGCTATGTAGGATGTCATTAATTGGTCCACGTATTTGCTGTTTATTAGGCTTGTTATATGGTAGCGTGCCGAATGCACCAAATTAATTAACCTTACTAACCTAACAACTAAATTGTATATAGGGTGAGCAAGGGTTGATCCCACAGGGAATGATTCGATTAAATCCTATATTTTATGCCAATAGCCACAACGAAAACAACATAATAAAACCCTAAACAGTGAATAGGACAACACAACAGAGTAACGAAAGGGGGTGTGATCAATGCAATCTAAACTGAAAACAAAGAAATCTCTAATGGTAGAAAATATCAGGTTAAAAGCAATCAATTCTCGGTTCAAGATCCACCTAAACATGCATTGGTCATGAACTAACCGTAACACTATTCTATCTCGTTATTATGGAACTACTGACCCTAGGAAACAACAAGCTCTGTTAACCGAATCTTTCCTTAATTGTCACTACTGAAATAAGCTCTCCAAGTAGATCCCAACCCTTGAACAACCTAGAATAAACTCTCTAAGTTTAATTCAATGGCAACCTTAAGAATTAGGAAAATAGATCAATCTAAGCAACAATCTCGCAAGCTCGGATTATTTAACTTAGGTTATGTTATTCAAGACGACAGATTGAAAACTTGTCCATAATCATCTATCATCATGTGTTACTCATTGAATAGAAATAGGACAATTACGTATCACAATTCCTAATTCTATCAGATAAAATTCCGATTAAACAATTCAGCAAGCCATTACTAAATCACTCAAACAGAAAATTATAAACAATTAAAACAGAATAACATAAACAATTCCAATAAAAACAAGATTGAGAACAATGTTACTGAACACCAATGACATGAATTTAGGCTTCAAAATCCCCTTGAACTGAAGAAGAAAGATCAGCCACACATCTTGACGTAGAAAGTAAAAGAAAACCAAAAAAACTAAAAACCACTGCTGTTCTCTTCTCTCCCCATTTTTAACCTAACAACTCATCAATAAATAGCATGTGTTTTCCTTAATTCTACCCCAAGAATCACGGAAATTACTTTCCTAGATCTTTGCTAAAAGATAGACTTCCAAAATTGTCAAAATCTTATTAGATATGGAAAACATAATTCATCTCCAACTTGCACCAGGATTCTCGCAACGTCAAAGATCTTTTCTGAGCTTGGTCACTTCATAAAAATTGCCCAGGATGTGTAGATGAATCTGGGCTTTTGAATCACCCGCTTTCGATATCTGACGCTCCAGTTAGGCCCATTCGAA